TGGATTATGAACTTGTTGGTGGACTACGATTTGGCAACGCAAATGGGAACCCTTGTTCATCAAACAAGACATGGCATGGAGATATGAAATTTTTTTATGGATAAATCATAACATAAGTAACCTATAGATGTTTTTCTATATCCTAAAAAAATACAAGCGAGAATACCTTGGTGCTAATTTATGTCCGGCATATGGTCTTAACCATGGATAACATAAGCACCCAAAATTTTTTAGCTCATCATAGAGAGGATCTGTTTCCAAAGAGGGTGGAATAAGGGGAATGATTTTGCAATTTGGGTGTGGGAAGATGATTGATAGTGTAGATGGCTGCAAAAAAAGCATAGGTCCAAAATTACAATGGGACGGATGCATGTGTAAGAAGGGCTAGGCTTGTTTTAACTACATGGCGGTGTTTTCTTTCTATACGAATTGTTTTGTTTTGGTGTTTTAGGACATGCAATTCTTTGTGAAATTCCATTGTCATTGAGGTATTTGGTTAGGATTTGATATTCCTCTACCTAGTCGACTGAAACTGTTTTATATGTTTGTCAAAAAATTTCAACGAGTGTTTTGAACTTTATAAAATAGTTTAAAACCTCGGATTTATGATGAAAAAAGAATAGCCGAAGTATTTACTATAATGGTTCATAAAACGGAACATAATATGAGTAGCCATCTATAGATGAAACAAGGGAGGGTCCACTAGAGGTCGGAACAAATAATTCCAATAGAGCTTTGGTCTTATAAGTAGATAATGAAAATAGAAGTTTATGATTTTTACTAATAGAGCAAGCATGACATAATGAATGAATAGTTGGCAAAGGAACGTTAATTTTAGAATTCTTCAAAGCCTAATGAACGAGTTTTGATTGAGGCATGCCTAAGGCGAGCATGCCAAGTTTTTAAAGTTACGCTATGAGCTTGAATGAAAGAGGATTGTCTCATTGCATAGTCTATGAAGAAGGTGTAAAGATCGTTTTTAAAGGGTCCGACTTGTAGAAGTTCTTGAGAAGCCAAGTCCTTTATGTAAAATTTGTCGGGAAAAAATTCTATAAAGTAAGAGTTAGTATTTGTGAAATTGCTCACAGAGAGTAAGTTTTGAGTGCTAAAAGGAACATGCAAAATATTTAGAAGAGAAAATGTACGGTTATGTAGTGTAAAAAATATTGAACCAACATGAGATATGGGAATGGGTTTACCATCCGTTAAGCGGACTTCTTCGGGACCATTATACTCATTGTGAATAACAAGGTTATCCAGTTGTGCTTGTCAAATGGTGAGTAGCACCATTGTCTATAATCCATTGTTGTTGTGGTTGGTGTGATCTGTGCTAGGTTGGAGATTGGTTTGGTTTGGGTTTTGGAGGTGCAAGATTTTGGTGAGGGGTAGACATTGGCAAGGTGATTGATACCATTGCGGTTGTAACATGTGATGGTGTTGGTGTCGAGCTATATATGTAGAGAAGAGTTGTTCCTGTAGTGTGAATTAGTAGCGGAAGGTACTATCCCGTAGCATCCTCTACCACGGTTTGGGTTGTGACGATGGGTATAGTGAGTCGTTATGGGAACATCAACATGATGGAGACTTCCTTGTAGCTACAACTCTTCACTAAGAGCAAGTCCATATAAGGCCTCATAACCGATGGATTCATGCCGAGATTCCATGGAATGGACAAAAGGTCTATAAAGGGAGGCGAAGCCATGCGGTAGAGCTTGGACAAGATCCTCCTCGGGGACAACCAAACCAAGGGATTAAAGTGTGTCAAACATGCCTTTTCCACGTTGGAAGAATTATGGAATCATCTCAGCTGGGCGATTGAGTGAGCCTATATAGATTGCTTTTGAGATGATTGATCTATGTCCTTATTCCAATGCCACAAGTTATGGTCAATTTTGTCCGGGCGACTTGTGCGATAGCAGCGCCAACGACCAAAGGAAGCACCATTTCATAGAGGGAGCCAATGATCCGGGTGAGTACTAATTGATCATCGTATTCCTCTTAAGTGAATAAAAGGTTTTGTTCATTGTTGATGGTGCGAGAGAGGTGGTCGGTGGGATCCATCTATGTGGTGCGACAAGCCATGGCAGCGTAGCAGATGGTTGGAACTAAGTTTTCTAGAGGATAAAATTCATTGTGGTGAGTTTGAAAAGGAAGTGAATTTTTAGGTTTGGGAGAATAGGAGCGACCATGAAAGATAAAGTGATGGCGGGGGAAGCTAGAGAGAATGCTGAAGTTTGTTCTATGTCTTCGGCGGCCATGGAGTCCGGAGGAAAGCAAAAGACCGATATATGGAGAGATACTAGAATTGAATTTTGCTCTATTTTGTGGAGAGCGAAGTGAAAGCAATAAAAAATTGCAATTGGTTACTTTAGCAGAGGGCTATTAAGCCGATTCTAACAAGGAAGGAAAAAAAGAAAGAAAGGATGCTGGACGGTTAAGTCAAGATCAACTCTAATCCCATGATAAGGTTGTACTTTTCTATATATTATACAAGTATGTTACGGAGCATCTATATAAGTATGATGATAAGCATGAAGGTAGTTGTAAATTATCACATGACGTCGAAGTAACATAGTATAACTCTATTATTATCCCTATAACTCTTATCCTTATCATAATAATGGGTAATACAAGGAGTCCTCTCTATATTAAACTAGAGGAATACATCAGCCACAAGCATCAAAGGTTATACACACTTGCGAGACCACATCAATAGATGATACACAAAGAAAAGAGAAGAAACCAAATTCAGATTTTATCGGAAAACAACATTGTTGCAAGCATCATATCTCACTATTCAAGAATTAAAACCAGATCTTCACCGTACAAAATATGCGTCTGTCTCTCTTGAATGGGCCCACCAAATTTGAACTCGATCCAACGGTTAACAAACCCAGCAAAGCAATGTCGGCATGACTGGTCCGTGTTGAAACTTTCGCCCCTCTTTCTTTCTAAAGTTGCGGGCTCTCTCTCCTTTTTTTATTTTTCTCTCTTACTTTCTTCCCTAATCTGATTTTAGAATAAAAGAGAAGATAAGGTTTATTTGAAAATACCAAAATTACGATTAAAAAATTCCTCCTCTATATGGGCTTCAAGATTCGACTCATGTAGGCAAATCTTTGAGCCATCCTCCAACTAGAAGGGAAACCCAACACATAGATCAAATCCTCTTGAAAGTGATAGAAAATTAGAAAGAATATGAACACCGTTATTATTTTTCCAACTCATTCACGTTGGCATTATTGCCGACCACTCGCATCTCCTCCCTCTAGTTGGATCCTCTAATTCACGACTCTATCAAAATTAATTTTGATTGGGCTTTCTTAGCCTACACTATGTCAAAATCAGTAGGCATTGTAGTTAGAGACTATATGTTCCGTAAAAAAGTGTTTATTATCCTTTTATTTCTAGTGATTGTAATTGGATTGCTCTTATGAGAACTTTGTTGTTCTTTTTATTTGGGTTTGTGATCATTTAGAAGATCCCAACTTTTTCACTTAATATATGAGATTGAACTATCTTTTGGAAAAAAAGAAAAAAACTCAAATATCTCAATAGAAAAGTGAAGGATATCAAGAGTTATATTTTCAAGGAAAGTAACAAATTAAAGATGTAGTATGTATATCCTAATCAAATAAGATAATGATTGCCCCAATAATGTCCACTTCTCCATACTTTACTTTAACTTCCTTAAGTCCATGGGGCAAATTGCATTGAAGTGGCATAGCATTTTCGACGATCGAAAATATTTTTTCTAAATTAATAAGCATAGACTCGAGTGGTACCATCAAGCCTCGGTTGTTGCCGATCTTGATCCGTCACATTTTTAGCGGCTTTTAAATCAATATAGATAGACTCAATGGTCTTCTTATGCTTCTGAATTTCCTCATGTATCTTTTGAAAATTCAAAGTTAGAAATCTTTTTAAATAAATATGAGTAGATGTGTAGTAATAAACTTTACCTCTTTCTTAGAAGCCCTTACAAAAGAAGCACTTTAGTTGCAACTTGTGAGGAGATGGAAAGAAAGAAAGGTTATCATGTAGGGCGTGGTAAGAGGAGGAGGGAAAAAAAAGAAGAAGAAAGCAAACCGATCATAGTCAAGAAACCGCGTGAGCGATTGATAGTTGGACATGATACGGAATAATAATAGCCTATTTCAATTCATTTTTTCTAATATAATATATAGAACAAAGTCATGACGTATAATATTTTTTATTCATTCTATAAAAAATTACTATATTATAAATTGCATAACATTGCGTTTAAAAAAAATACATAGATGATCACCAAGTTATTGGATCCACGAGTTCATTAATTTTATATAATCGGTATGTGAACTGATTAATTTCAAGTGGTTTGCTTATTAGATAGGAAGTTTGTTGTATTTTTTTAGATTCAAATCAATATTAAAAGGATTTTATTAAATTATTCTAAATGTATTAGCTTGGAGAATCCGTTTACCATAAAAACAATATGTGAACCGAGATCAATTGGTCCAATCCTATAATAGCATTTACAAATTTTTGAACTCTTTTTCTTGTATCTCTTATATTCACACATTGGATAACATATAAAACTTTATTTAGATTTTGATCACTTGCTTATCTATCACTCGACTTGCTCCTTATTAGACTCTTGCTCTTCTTCTCATGTCTCTTATCACTTGCATTAATTTTATTTGGTTGGTTGGTGGTTGTGTTTATAAATTATAATACTATCTCTCTGAATCTTAACAAATTTATGGCTCAATCTTTTAAACAGTTATCAAATACCCTCATCACAATTTTTAATAACCCACATCAAAATTATCAAATCAATTACTTTTTTTCCCCCACTTGTAACTATAAGGTTAAAAAACGATGGACAAATTTTTTTGCCCAGAATAAGGCATTACAAATTGATTTTATAAAGCCAAAAGACAAAAGTTGACATGTATAGACCACCATAGATGAATCGGTATAAGAAATCGTTAGCAGCAGGTTGCCTTAACATGAATTAATTACTCGGGATAGGAACGTATCGAAGCATCAGTATTCGACATGTGTGCCCCGATTATGTCCTCTTCTCCTAACAATTTTACAACTACCGTTTTTTTTGGTGGTATAGTATCAGGATGGTCATCAGTAATGTTATGAGCTTTGCTTAAATCAGAAATTGCAGAATCAATGACCATCCCAAGTCTCTGAATTTTGTCATCTTTTAATATGAGCTGGTAATGAAGCTGTTGCGTTTTCTCATCTTTCACAGCTAGGTCATGCACAAGGTACCTAATTTCCTCATGTCCCTCATTGAGCCGGTTTTTAAGGCTTAGTATTTCCTTATCTTTCAAAGCTAGTTCATGCTCATGCTTCTGAATTTCCTCATCTCTCTTACTAAGCTGGTTTTTAAGGCTTAGTATTTCCTCATCTGTTACAGTTACCTGGTCCGTAAGGTTGTTTATTCTTTGAGGCATCTGGTCCTTAAGGCGTTGTATTTCTGCATCTTTCAAAGTTACCTGCAGCAGCAGCTCACCTCTAGATAACTTTGTACTACTTGACTTTTTATTTAGCAGCTTCATTCTTGTCCATTGAATCATCTCCACCGGTCTTCAATCATGCACAAACATGAGTTAGAACGTGCCCAGTATGATGATTTACCTTATATAGACTTCAATCCTCAAACATTAAGGATAAAAATAGCGAGTTTTGTGCCATATTAAATTAAGAGGATTTATAATGAAAATAAATTCAGAAAATTAAATCTAACAAAAATCCATTTGCATGACAGATTATATTTCTGAGAGCACTTACTAGGTTAATGACAACCTATTCAAACGGTCCATTATAATAAATAAATAAATAAATAAACCCATCAAATTTGTTAGTTCGTTGGAAAGATTAAGCAAATCATATTGAAACAAGAATAGAAGTCACCTGCCAAGATATGTTGTAATTGTCTCCTTCAGGCTTTACTTGAGGAATCACTCCAATACATCTAGTTTTAAAAATTGCAGACAGTCCACGATATATATATTTGTGAAGTGACTAACCTAAAGAACGTCATTGATGTTGTTTCTGATGTTAAAAGAATTAAATGATGCTGAAAATCATTATTTTATCCACTCATCTGTCCATTTTATTTTACTTTTATGATAAAAGTATTTATATATATATATATATATATATATTTTTTGTGTGGATAAGTTGAGATTAAATCTCTTCCAGAACCATTTTAAAAATGTATTTTTACATCAATATAATATATTCAAAGAAATTTAATAAATTTTCCTAAAAATTGACCTCAAGATTTGAACCTAATTTTTTTTTTAGAAAAAAAAATTCTTAATTACTAGGCCAATAGGGGTAAATCTGTTCAATTATTCAATTATATTCTTGTTTTATAAATTTCATCAAAATTTCCATATAATTCTACTATTTTGTTGAAATTGATTAAAGCTAAACTCAAAGGGAAAAAAGAAAAAGAATAAGGTGAGGTCTAGAATAATAGCAAGCCCAACTTGGGGGCTAGGCTCTGGGCTCTGTCTCAGGCTTAAAAAAGTACCGTATGGACGTTAATATTCCAATCAAAATCCCTGATCGACCAGAGCACATTGCAAATCCTCATCATTCTTTTTCACCCTCATTCAACTAATTTAATTCCTCGATATTCCAATCAACACCTGATCTGGCTGAGAAAAATGAAATGAGACGAAAGGTCGTCTGTTCATCGAGAAAGGAAATCAAATTGCAAATCTCGAATCATGGCTAATGAGCACTCTAGATGAGTGCTAAAAAAAAAAAACCACCTAATTAATTGAAATGATAAATTATTATACTAAATAAATACAAAAAGATGAGGTAAAGAAGCAAATCCATGTAAAAATAAAAATAAAAACATTCACCTACCAGGAGGTTGTGTTCTTCAAGCCACAGGAAAAGTCAGGGAACTGGTTGTGTTCTTCAAGCCACAGGAAACGTCGGGGAACCACTTGAGGATATCTAATTTCAGGCTTTCAAGAGATTGAAGATGATTAGATGAAATTCGCATCTAACTGTATATAATATATAAGTCGAGGAGGATGGAACAAAAACCTCTTTCTTGGAAGCTCCTCCTGAAGCTTCTTTGGCTGTATGAAGTTGACTCGTCAGATTTTGTTCTGCAAAAATACCATGTGTGTTTGTATGCGTTAAAAAAAGAGTAAATTATAAATTAATTCTTCTAGTTTTGAAAAACGAATTAATTAGTTTTTTATTAATTTTTATATTTTTAAATATAATTATAATTTAATTTTTTTCATTTATTTTTATTTTATTTTATTTTTTATTTTAAAAATATAAAAAGAATAATGAGAAAAAAGGATATTTATAAAATTAAATAATATTGAATTAACATAAGCAACACTAGCCAAATAACTGATTTTTTTTTTTTAAATACTAATTATTTTATTTTTCAAAAATTAAAAGAACTAATTTATCATTTACTCGTAAAAAGAATATACTAGACTATAACTATCTATGCAGACTTCTTTTTTTCGAAAAAGTATTTAGGCATGCAATTTTGACTTTTCTGCTCTTCCTTCTTGTGCCTTTCCTTTTCTATCTATCAAAAAGAATGTGAGATTCTTTCCAAAACCTAACTATAGTAAGGGCAATCAAGCCCATCGTGTGGTCAGTTTTGAACGTCTAAGCCATCATTATCTAAATTACAGACGAACATTCAACCTCTAGGCAGCTTTTTTTGTCTTTAGATTTTTTTTTTTCCTACGGATCTTGTGGAAATTGTTACTCTTCCACCCTTTACTAATCTCAATTTCATGTTTCTCAAGCACAAACTTCCACAAAAGCTCCAGCAATCGTTTTTTTTATGCTTAATCGAAACTTCTAACAACTAGTTTCTTTGTGTTCAATAGGAAGTTCGGCGAGTATCATTCACATTTTGTGATTAATTTTAGATTTTATAATACTTATTATGATTGTTGTTGTAAGCATTCAATTTTTATTCAATCAACTTTAAGAATAAAATTTTATATTTTGACATAGAGATGGCATAATATGTCCACTTCTGAATGCATAATATGTGTCATATATGAGATTTCAATATAATGACTCAATCAATATTCAGGAATATGATTGCGCAAAATTTATGAAATAATAACCATATATTTTGATGAAAACTTTGAGGACCAAAATATTATAAATAAAGTACCAACTTGTAAAAAATATTAATTTTTAAGGAGTAAATAACTTTTAAAAAAATTATAAGGATTACAATAAAATAATTTGACAAATTATTTTTTGTCCGTATTAAATGGGTAATAAATAGGTGGGTATTATATGATTTTTTTTTCCGAATATTTGATCAATTCAAAATAAAAGAATAAAGTTTTTTTTTTTAAAAAAAAATTGAAACCGCACCGCATTATCTTCTTAATTTGATATAGAAAAGTAGCTACCAATCAACATTATTATTTTTTTCATTTTAATTTTCACGAACCTATTTATACTCTCTTTTTTTTTAATTGTATGCTAGGTTCATTTTATATGTATTTTATTATTTTTAAATTATTATATTATTTAAAAAAAACATCCTTAATTTAGAGTTTTGCTATGATAAGATCTCACATATGATACATTTTGTGACATTTAAAATGAGATCTTAAAAACAAAATAACATAAAAATTGAATAATGATAATAATAATAATAATAATAATAATTTGATCTTTGTTCTTTTTAAGTGGTTTTGATCATATTCTTCTATTAGAGTTTCACGTATGACATGTGTTACATATTCAGAATTGGATGGATTAGATTATCTCCATATCATCTCATAACTAACAATGTTAATTATAACATATGGTCTCAAATAATACAAAAAAAAGAGTAGAGGAAAACAAAATCTCAATCAAAATAATTTGAAATAAAAAGTCCAATTATGAAAATAAATCCTAACTTTCATTATTGCATAACAATTATCTTGTGGGCGGAATATTCACTAGAGTAGCAGCTAATTAATTGAAATGATAAATTATTATTTTAAATAAATACAAAAAGATAAGGTAAAGAAGCAAATCCATGTAAAAATAAAAACATTCACCTACCAGGAGGTTGTGTTCTTCAAGCCACAGGAAAAGTCGGGGAACCGGTTGTGTTCTTCAAGCCACAGGAAAAATCGGGGAACCACTCGAGGATATCTAATTTCAGGCTTTCAAGAGATTGAAGATGATTAGATGAAATTCGCATCTAACTATATATAATATATAAGTCGAGGAGGATGGAACAAAAACCTCTTTCTTGGAAGCTCCTTCTGAAGCTTCTTTGGCTGTATGAAGTTGACTCGTCAGATTTTGTTCTGCAAAAATACCATGGATGGGTGTTTGTATGCGTTAAAAGAAGAGTAAATTATAAATTAATCATTCTAGTTTTGAAAAACGAATTAATTAGTTATTTATTAATTTTTTTATTTTTAAATCTATTTATAATTTAATTTTTTTCATTTATTTTTATTTTTTATTTTAAAAATATAAAAAGAATAATAAGAAAAAAAGATATTTATAAAATTAAATAATATTGAATTAACATAAGCAACACTAGCCAAATAACTGATTTTTTTTAAAAAAAGACTAATTATTTTATTTTTCAAAAATTAAAAGAACTAATTTATAATTTACTCGTAAAAGAATATACTAGAGTATAACTATTTATACAGACTTCTTTTTTTCGAAAAAGTATTTAGGCATACAATTTTGACTTTTCTGCTCTTCCTTCTCGTGCCTTTCCTTTTCTATCCATCAAAAAGAATGTGAGATTGTTTCCAAAACCTAACTATCGTAAGGGCAATCAAGCCCATCGTGTGGTCAGTTTTGAACGTCTAACCCATCATTATCTAAATTACAGACGAACATTCAACCTCTAGGCAGCTTTTTTTGTCTTTAGTTTTTTTTTTTTTTTTTTTTTTTTTTTTTTCCTACGGATCTTGTGGAAATTGTTACTCTTCCACCCTTTACTAATCTCAATTTCATGTTTCTCAAGCACAAACTTCCACAAAAGTTCCAGCAATTGTTTTTTTTTTTTTTTTATGCTTAATCGAAACTTCTAACAACTAGTTTATTTGTGTTCAATAGGAAGTTCGGCGAGTATCATTCACATTTTGTTATTAATTTTAGATTTTGTAATACTTATTATGATTGTTGTTGTAAGCATTCAATTTTTATTCAATCAATTTTAAGAATAAAATTTTATATTTAGACGTGGAGATGGCATAGTATGTTCACTTATGAATGCATAATATGTGTTATAAATGAGATTTCAATAGAATGACTGAATCAATATTCAGAAATATGATTGCACAAAATTTATAAAATAAGAACCATATATTTTGATGAAAACTTTGAGGACCAAAATATTATAAATAAAATACCAACTTGTAAAAAATATTAATTTTTAAGGAGTAAATAACTTTTTAAAAAATTATAAGGATTAAAATAAAATAATTTGATAAATTATTTTTTGTCCGTATTAAATGGGTAATAAATAGGTGAGTATTACATGATTTTTTTTTGAATATTTGATCAATTCAAAATAAAAAAATAAAGTTCTTTTTTTTAAAAAAAATTGAAACTGCACCACATTATCTTCTTAATTTGATATAGAAAATTAGCTAGCAATAAACATTATTATTGTTTTCATTTTAATTTTCAAGAACTTATTTATACTCTTTTTTTTTAATTGTATACTAGGTTCATTTTTTATGTATTTTATTATTTTTAAATTATTATATTATTTAAAAAAATCCTTAATTTAGAGTTTTGCTATGATATGATCTCACATATGATACATTTTGTGACATTCAAAATGAGGTCTTAAAAACATAATAACATAAAAATTGAATAATGATAATAATAATAATAATAATAATTTGATCTTTGTTCTTTTTAAGTTGTTTTGATCGTATTCTTTTATTAGAGTTTCACGTATGACATGTGTTACATATTCAGAATTGGATAGATTAGATTATCTCCACATCATCTCATAACTAACGGTGTTAATTAGAACAGATGGTCTTAAGCAATACAAAACAAAGAGTAGAGGAAAATAGAATCTCAATCAAAATAATTTGAAATAAAAAGTCCAAATATGAAAATAAATCCTTTAGATTTTATAATATTTATCATCACTATTGCTATGAGCGCCCACTTTATATTTAATTAACTTTAAGAATAAAATTTGATATTTTAGCATACTAGTTTCATTTTATTTTACTATCATCAAAATTCTCATAATTTGATCGCTTTTATACGTATTATTTTTACTATTGTAGGTATGTATTTATAGTACTTTTAAAGGTTATTTCTCCATAACAATATGCGAAAAAATAGAGAAAAAGAATAGACATTAAATAAGAGAGGAGAGAAATCCAAATTAAAAAAAATAATAAGTAGAGAACATAAAAAGAAGAAAAAGAAGTGAAAATATCAAGTATTTCTTTGTGTTATGAAAGAAATAGTAACGATAGCATAGTTGAAGAGAAAGATAATAGAAAAATAAATTCACTATAAAATAAAGTGAATACAAATAATAAGAACTCAAAATAATTCTCTCAATCCCTATAAAATTTTTGTACATAAACTAACGAACAATCAAACGTATTTATAGGCTTCAAGATTAGAAAGAGAATTTGAAATGATTATAAACCATTAAAAGATGCATAAATGCTTGAATAAATTACATCACTCATTAAATTTCTCATATTGAATGATAAATTGAATCATATAAATGGTGAAGAATATGAAATGGATATTCATTTTTTCATAACGCTTTCCCTTGAATGTCCATCGTACAAAAATTATGCCTCGTTAAAACCTTACAACGAAAAAACCCAATTAGAAAAACTCTTTGTGAAGGAAAAAGAGCACAATATTCCTTCTATACATTAACCTCAATGTTGGCTTTCCCCCGTTGAAAATGACATTTTAGATCTTTAAAACGATGTATTTTAATTTTGTGAATCATCTTCTTAAAAATTATAGTAAGTAATGCCCTAGCAAATAAGTTTGTCGGATTGTCACTTTAATGTATTCTTTCTTTAATGAAATTATGCAAGCAATATTATCTTCATATATTATTGTTGGGACTTCTTTTGCTAGTAGATAAACTACATGTCTCTTAAACATGATGGATCGTTGATCTTAGCCAAACACATTCTCGACTTACCTCATGAATTGGTATTTTTGCATGGTATGAATATCTAATACCTTTTGCTTTATAAAACATGATGATATAGCTATATCACTAAGTATAAAAACATAACCAATTTTTAATTGAGTTTTGTATGAATCAAATAAATAACCTCGCATCCGTATAACTCATTAAACCCGACTTTGATTCATTTGTGTAAAATAAATACTATATCAATTTTTTCTCGAAGATAACATAGGAAATGTTTAATTTCATTTCAATCTCCATATGAGAGTAAAATTATGATTTACTAATAAATTCACGAGAAAAAGACTATATTAGGTCGGGTATTATTATTAAGATATATCAATACACCGAGTAGGATTAAGATATGGTATTTCGGGACCAAGAAGTTCTTTGTTATTTTCTCAAGATCAAAAAGGTTCTTTTTAGATATCAGGTGAATGGACTACCATTGGGCTAGTTAATGGATGATCTTTATATAGAATTTTTTCTATATAAAGTACCGATGAATAAAAATCTTGTTCTTTAAGTGCTCAAACTGCGAGTCGAGATAAAAGTTTATTTTCCTAAGGTATTCACATTAAATTAGCTTTTTTTAGATAACTTATGGCACTTTGAATCTCTTCGGGAGTTCTAATAATATTTAAATTATTAACTTATATAGCAACTATCATGAACCCCTTTTCGAATTTCTTTATAAAAATACTTGAATAAATATAATTATTTTTATAATCTTGTTTCAATAAATATTTATTGAAATAATTATACCACATGCATACGAGTTATTAATATATATTGAAAAATAAAAATAAAAGTATAGCATAAATTGAAAACTAAAATAATAAAACTAATACTAAAATAATTAATTCTAATAGATCTCTATAATTAATTGAATTCGTTTCTCGAGAATATGTATTACATGCTTTAAGCATCTTAAGTCCTTCTAGAACTTTTGTAACACCCGTGAAAATCCTTAATTGTATATATATATATATTTAGTGTAAGTATAATTCTCATTACAACATGAGAAATTAATACTTGAAATGTGTGATTTATGTTAAATAAAATTTATTGTGCTTGAGATTAATGGTTAACTATTAAAGAAATCAATATGCAAAATCGGTGTTTTGAGAACTAAATTCTATCTAAAATTTTTGGTGATTTATTTGAGGATTTTAAAGTGATTTTTGGATAAAACATAAAGAATAAAAGTTTTTTTTTTCTAGGTGTCTACTAGTTCTCTATAAAATTTCATGATTTTTAGATATATATAGATTGAGTTATGATCGTTTTAGTATATATTGGTCTTGAGGCATCATAGTCTGGAAGATTTTGGGGGGAAGAAAAATTTTAAGTTAAGAAGGGGAATTTCATAAGATTTTTATAGGAAAATAGGTTTAGTTACTTGAAATTAAGTTAGTTAGGTTATGTAGTTAGCTTAAGTTTAGTTAGGACACTTAAGCATATGTATTAATGGAAGTCAAAGCTAACTCATCACTTTGACCTTCCAAGCTTTTCAAATCTACCACCTTACCTTCCAAACTCCTCTCATTTTACACTTTTCTTAGTTAAATTTTGCCACATAACACATCAATTAAGAAGAGGAAAAGTGAGGTGTATAATGGTGGGAAAGGCTAAACTTAGTCATTTTTTTAGGGCAAAAACCATAGCACCCAAGAAGGAAGAGAGAAAAACCAATTGTGTGAAAAAGGAGAGAAAGTCACAGCAAGAAAGAAAGGAAGAAAAGCTAAGGAAAAGTCTTAATCTAAGTAAGTGGATTACCTTTTATTTGTTTATACCATATATTTAATCCTTATGCAATTGAATAAACTTGTGTTTAGGTGGTGATTTGGTGTATTGATTGGTTGTTGATTGAATTGCCTTGCAATTCTCATTGATATGGTTAGTGGTATTGATTGGTTGTGTTAATTGATTTGCCTTGTAATTCTTATTAGTATGATTAGTTATATTGATTGGTTGTGTTGGTTGTTTTCAAAAACTTAGCAAGCCTTGTGCATGGTGAAATCATGTTTGGGGAATGTGAATGATGGAATTAGGTTACACAAGACATGATTAATAAATTTGAAACTTGTATAGACTTGAATAAATGAAGTAGGAAGGAAAGAAAAATGAAATTTTAGGGCTTTCGTG